GCGATGAAACCTTTTTTATTCCGTTTCAAATTCTGATCTTTTTTGGTCGTCCAGACTCTCTTTTTTCCCTATAAATAGAGGTCGTTTTACCCTGTTTTAGATCACAACCAACATACCGACAATTATCACAATCATCTTAACTTCTCTTCTCTTTCTTGATCCCCATGTTCTTAGCCTTAGCCTAAACACATGCTTGATATTCTCCCAAATCAGTCACAGTTCCTCATTCGCGAGATTTGAATACTCCAAGCTATCCTCGTCGTTGCCTTCGACCTCGGCGTGAAAGGTTGATAGTTCTGAGGGTTTGGTCCCAAATTTATATTTCAATTCATATTTGATTTATTTACTTTATTGATTTAACTTTCTTGAAGTATACTAATGTGTGTACTGTTTTAATAGCAAGAAGGTTGAGGCATCAAAGTGAGTAATTCAATCATCCTCTTTATTTTTCTTCGATTTTGGAGTAGAAATCATGCTTATAATGCTATTATAATTCCTAGTATCATGTTAGGATGTCTTTATAATTTCTAGTATCATGTTTAGGATGTCTTTATGAAATTTAGTATCATGTTTAGGATGTTGATTATGATTTCTAGTATCATGTTTAGGATAATGCTTTGATTTTGTTATTAGTGATATGCTAGGATTTGTTATTAATCCGTTTAGTATCATGCCTAGGATCTTGCTATTAACAATGTTATAATGATGTTCTTATGATGATGATTGTTGTATTAATCATATGTTGCTTGATTATTTATGATTTATTGTTATTGCTTGACCACGCCCCTTTTTGCAGATTTAAAGGGAATTTATACTTAAAATCACGCCTTATAAGATAATTAAAAATTTGATTTAGGCTAATATGATCTTAATTCAAGTGATCACCAATAATAGCCTTGATTGTGCATTAATAATCAACCAATGTAGATTAAACATGTTTAGGGTTAACTTGATATATGTATGTTGATCAAAAAGCGCACATGAATGTCATAAGAATTGAGTAGAGGCCTATTTAGGACGGGTTCAATCTCTTTTAGGTTGGATTCGTACCATCATCCCCGAACATAGTCATGATGCCAGACCACTATGGAGTTAGTGATCTTCGTGATCGTAAAAAAGGGTGTAGCTTTCACACCCGTGAACGGTTTACAAGTTCCTAAAATTGGTTGGCGACTCTTTTATCTCTAGCTTCTTTTCCTTGGAATGCCGCCATGCCTAAAAGCACAAACTAAAGTAGGGCTCAATAATGAGAATTGAAAAATTCCCTACACGTTCAAATGCTCCAATTCTTCATCATCCTCCTCACTACCCTGCTCATCACTTCCACTCCCATCTTCACTTGCTTGTTGTGACTCATCACTATTTGGAATATTATAACCAAAATCATCATCCGAATCTTCAAATTCTTCAATCCCCCCAATGCTAACAGCAAGTAACTCATTCATGTTGCTCACTTGATAAGGTTCAACCCCTTCTTCTTTCCTCTTTTGACTGCTTTTCTCAGGTATGTTCTTCTCTGCTGGGCCTTTTCTTTTACCAATCAACAACTCTCTGGCTTTAATCACCCACAACATCTTTCTTTTGATCTTCCACCCTTGGAAGGTCCTGCGTCACATCCTTCATTGTAATTTGCAACTGTAAACATAGAAAGGATAAATGTTAATCTATATTCAACCACCCAATTGTAAACATTCAAGACAGAACATACAGCTACTCACCCCCAACTCTGACCTACTACCAACAGTTGGACCAGAAGTACCACTCATTTTTCGAACCATTTGTCCTTCTGCATGATAAACATTATTTATTAACTTCAAATAGATACTTGCACTGCACCATTATTAACTATAAATCTGCACATAAATAATTCGAAATAATATCCCAGGTTTAGTTCCACTCAAATTCTTAATGTGTTGGTTTTGCAAACATGAAAGTTTTTACAATAAATTAAGGTTTCAAAAACCAACATCAACTGACTTAGAACCAACAAGGCAACAAATCTCCATTTCACATTAATTGATCATAATCCATAAAGCCAAAACTTACACAAGCCCAAATCCATCCAAACCCTAGTATAAACAAATTTCATAGTTTTCCACACAACAATTACTTTATAATATACAAAAGCTGAATTATGAATTTTAGGACAGCTTTATTTCAAGAATGTCATAACAAAACTTCGTTTATAATCACTACATCTTTAATACTTCATCCACGATTCAACGTACAAAAATTCAATAAAGTTTACAACTTAACTTTCCTTAAATTATTATCGCTAAAACTTTAGAGGGAAAAATGGACAGAATTATGCTTAATCGTTCTTGTATTCGCTCACAAATAACTCCAACAACAGTTACACAATCTACATTAACCCCAATTAACAATAATTTAATTTAAGTCCATGCATTCAAAATTTCAAATTTCGCCAAACACTTCAATAAAAACCACACATTACCCATTTTCAAAATTCTAGGGTTTCCAAGTTTGTTACCTGTACTTGCAAGAGTACAATGCCGAGAACAAAAACAACCAACAACCAACGAACAATGACAAAGGAACAAACAATAACGCCAACAGAGAAGCGAAGCGGGAAGAACCGAAGCGAAAGAGAGTGAGAGAGTGAGTACACAGAAAGGGAAGTTTTGTTTTTAAAATTCTTTTTGGAAGATGAAAAAGAAAGTTATTGCAAAAGGAAGGTTTTTTACGGAAGTTGAAAAATGGAAAACGGTGAACCCCCTCACGTGTCTCAATTAAAAAACTTCTCATGGAAGCTAAGTCAGCACAATTACCTCCTTACCCTTACTAAATGCGAATTTCCAATAGTGCTCTTGCTAGAAGTTTTGTAGCCTCCAATAGCTAGAGCCTGAGACAATCTCGTATTAAAGGTGTACTCTATTTAAAAACTGTATATCGCACGGACTTTTATATACTTACAAGCTAGGTTGCACCGATACGGACACGGACACGGCAAAACGACAATCCTAAAATAGGGGACACGGGTACGGCAAATAACAAGACAAATAATATATCAAAAAACGTGATTTTGACAACCTATTCAACAAAACACTTAATAATTAACCTTAAAACAAGTCATTTACCGTAGCTAAATAATATTCCCCTAATTCACATACAATAATGTGCTATGAAATGTGTTTTGAAGGTACTCGTGTTATAACTCTTACCTTTTTCTCTCATACTTTACCTTAACTTTTTAATTAAAAAAAGTTAAAAAGATGAGGTGACATATCAAAATGCAAATCGGATCGTATCATAGTAGGATACGATTCGTCTCAAAGTGTCTAAATACATTAAAATACCGGATGTAGTTTTTATGTGTGTCCGTCGTGTGTCGAACGAGTTTCGGTGTCTGACACGGTGTCGGACATAGACACGACTGTTAGACAAAGTGTCCGTGCATCATAGCTTACAAGTAGGGGTGGGACTTTTCAAACCGAACCGTGAAACCGTCCGTTATCGAACCGAACCATCACGAATCGAACTGTTTGTAAACCGCTAGCTTTAAACCGAAAACCGAACTGAACCGTATAATGTCAAACCGAAACCGAACCAAACCGATTAATGTTAACCCGTTACGAACCGTAAACCGATAACAAACCAAACCGTTTATAAATCGAAACCGTTTGAACCGATTAATGTTAACCCGCTAACTGTTTAAACCGAACCGATTATAAACCGAAACCGTTTGAATAGTAGGAAAAAACCGTTTAAATCGAACCATTTACAACCCGCTAACCGTTTACACCAAACCGTTGTAACCTTTTAAGCCGTTTAAACCAAACTATTTTCAAACCGCAACCCGTTTAAACCGATCCGATTACAAACTGTTTAAAACAAACCGTTTACAACCCGTTCCATTCAAATTGGACTATTTACAGCCTTTAACAATTTGTTAGAATTCCACGAATACATTTGATGTTTAATGTAGTTTAACAGTACATTTTTTGTACGTATAATTATTAATTTAAATTTATAAATTTTTTTGCTATTATAAAATTAAAATTATATTCTTGCATAACTAAATTAGGAGTTATAAATTGAATAAAAAAATTATAAAAAATCTGGCCACCCACCCAATCCAACACCCTCCACCTACCCACCACCGTAACCCACCCTAACACCACCCCCGCCGTCACCCCAGACTCACCCTATCACCACCACATCCCACCACCGTCACCCCAGACCCACCCTAACACTACCCCCACCCACCACCGTTACCGTAACCCACCTCCACCCCACCACCGTTACCGTAACCCACCCCCACCCCACCACCATCAACCCAGACACACCCTAACACCACCCCCACCCACCATAATTATCATAACCCACCCCACCCCACCCCACCACCCACCGTAAATACAAAAAAACCCAGACCCAAACCCCCACCTACCCCATCCACCACCGTCACCGTAAATAATAAAACCCAGACCCATACCCCACCCCACCTACCACCATCACCGTAACGCACCCCACCCACCACTGTCACTGTACAAAAAAAAAAAAAAAACCAAGCCCAACCCCAACCACACCCACCACCGTCACCGTAACACACCCCACCCTACCCCATACGAAAAAATCGGAAAAAAAAAACCCAAACCCACTGTAACCCCACCCCACCCATCCCCACGAAACCCAACATCCTCGAAACCCCCCCCCCCCAACTCACTCTAACTACTCACCCACCATAAAACTCCCTCCCTCCCTTGAAAAATCCTCCCTCCCCTCCCACCCGAACCCACTCTAACCGCCGCCGAACCCATCCTAACTTGGCCCCCTCCGTCGCCCACAACCTGAAAAAAAAATAGAAAAAAAGGAAGAACGAAAATACCTTATATATTATTATATTAATCCTGAATTTGGCCTCGAATTTGGTTTTAAAAGGCCAAATTCTATCATGAAACAACTAGATCTAGAGTTTCGTGGTCGAATTTGACCATAAAAACCGTCGTGCGTGGTGCCGGTGGACGGTGACGGAAAACGAGATGGAAGAAGGAGAACATAGATGGAAGAAGGGAAAAGAAGAAAGGAAGATGGAAGAGGAGATGAGAGAGAAAACGGGAGAGCAGTGAGCATATTAGAAGCCATGGCTCAAAAAATTGATAATATTACAGAAGAGGAGAGAGAAAACGAGAGAGAAATCAAAGAGTACTAAAGAGACAATGGTAAGAGTGATTTGATTAGTGGAAAAGAAAACACACGGATCATGAATTGGAATGTGTGCGATGATAGGCCGTTAGATGACATGCAAATCAATGGCTGATATTTAATTTAAGACGGTGACACGGATCGTGGAATGATCGATTAGGATAATATGTTTTTTTTTATTCATAGCTACGTACTAATAAAAACACTACTGTACTCTTAAAAAATGATTAACTTTATGTAACTTATCAATTGTAAGATTCAGAAATGTTTGGAAATTCAAATTGATTCAATACGACATATTTAATGTATATTAGTTATTATATGTAATAAATAATAATGTATGGTACGATTGATATCATACTATCATTGGTATGAATAGATAATCAATAAATGTCTCTGATTATTAAAACTTAAAATAGTTGATGATCGATCTAATTGAATACTTCTACTTCTCCATCCGTTTTCTTTAACTTGCAAGTTGCAACATATATATGTTGCAGCCTTGTAGGCACGTAATCTTAAAAGGTGATCAGAGAGGGTAAGAGAACAAAGTAATTCAGCAATATAACTTTAACACCAAAATTATGGAATAGTTACAAACAATTGTCAATTATTACTTTATTAGACTAATGGGAAATTGAATAATTGTGATTTTAATTAAATATCCAAATATAGTTCTGTAACATTAAATTATTAGTTTATTACAATATCAATTATCGATTTATCGTATTCAAAGTACCAACTCATCAAATCATGGTCATGACGTGATCTTTAAAAACAAGAAGTTGATAACCTGATAATAATCAATAATGAAACAATAATACATTAATACCTTATAAATTTGTAATAGACTAATATTTAATAAACAACAACAAGACTATAACCAAACTTGAAACATAACACATTAACATGATATAGAATATGAGAATTTATGTAATTCTATATAATCTGATATCTGAATCGATTTATCGTATTCAAAGTAGCAACTCATAAAAATATGGTCATGACACGATATCTAAAACAATCCAACAAGAAGCTGATAACCTGATAATATTTGATAATGAAACAATAATACATTATAAATTTATAATAGACTAATATGATAATATCTAATAAACAACAACAAGAGTATAACCAAACTTGAAACATAACATATTAACATGATATAAAATAATTAAATAAATGAAGATTTGTGTAATTGTATATAATCCGATGTCTGAAAATAAAGTGACGAAATACCAACTTGATATAAAACGAAACCAGCTAATCGGTCAAAAACTCTTTAAACCCAATTTCTACTCGATCCATTTTTTTTTTCACCAACCTATACTGACCTGCTAATGAAATGGAAATACTAGTCCCAACTTGATATAAAACAAAACACGCTAACTGGTCAAAACCACTTTTTAGAACTCAATTTCAACCCAAATCAAACCGACTTTATCTAGTTCGCTAAAGAAATGAACCTTTTCAACCCGATCCAATTTAACCGATTACCAAACTAACCCGAATTATTTTAGCACCAAACCGAGTATAAACCGAACCGATATGAATCGAATTAGCATTAACTAGGGTAAACCCGCCCCTGAACCGACCCGTTTCAAAATAATTCGTTCATGACCCGAACCGATGTGAACCTGAACCGACGTTGACCCGGTAAAACCGCCCCTGAACCGACCTGTTTCAAACCGATCCGATTATGAACCGAATCGTTTAAAAACCGAACCAGCATTGACCCGAGTAAACCCGCCCCTGAACTGACCCGTGTCTAACCGATCTGATTATGACCCGAACTGTTTATAAACCGAATCGTTTATGACCTGAACCGAATTTAAACCGTACAAAAATAAACCGAAACCGAACCGACCTGTGACTAATCAGAACCGAACTGAACCGACCCGCCGTTTAAATAAAACTGTTTCAACCCGAACCGTTTCAAACCGAAACCGTTTCAAACCAAAGTCAAACCGAACTGCCAAACCGAAGTCCCACCCCTACTTACAAGTTAATATAGGTTTGTTTCTCCTAAAATTACCCCCCACAAATCCAAACAACACAAATTTCATTAATTAAACAAACAGCCGGTACCTTTCATCCGCGGCCAGATCTTTTCTGAATGGCTTCGACGGAGCAACCTTTAAAGAAGAGAAAACTTTACGAAACTCCACCACCACCACCACCACCGTCACAGCCCCACCACCACCACCACCTCCTCCTCCGCCTCCACCGCAGGAGAATTTCCCACCACCACCTCAAACTCCGCCTCAATTATCGCACGAAGAAATTCTTCGAAGACGAAGGAATCAGGAAGAAATTTGGAATGTCTACGAAAATTACAAGACTATTAAGCGCTGTATCTCCTCTGCCAGGGACCCCCGTCACATGCCTGAGCTTGAGCAAGCCTATCTTTCTCTAATTTCTGCTTCTAGAGGTTCGTGTTTCTCTTTCTCCCTCCCATTTTCTTGTAATTTTATGTCATAAATCTTTCTGAATTCGTGTAAATTAATCAAATAATTGAAATTTGGATTAGATTTTCGTGGAAGACTGGAGCTTTTTGTACTGGATTTAGTTTGTTGATTTACTAGGGTTTTGTATTTTAATGCATGTTGACTTAATTGGTATAATTTGTGATGTAATATTTAACATCTTGGTCGATGAAAACAGAAATCAGTCTAACAATTGAAGGATTTTGCTTTAATAGGCACTTACTTTAGAGTGTTTTCTTAAACCATTTATGATTATATTTGCCTTGTGTATTTAGACCTTTGGTTGATTTCTGTATTGACTACCCCGAATCATCAAGTCGTCGTGGTTAAGATTCCATTAATATAGATTCATGGTTGATTAAGGTATATATGTAATTCTGGATGTACATGTAATTTTTGTGATTCATGGTTGACCAAGGTATAATATAGATTGAGAATTTACTTGTTGGAACCCAATGTATTAGTAAGTTGCTTGTTGCTTTTAATGGCATGTCTTGCCTATGTTCCTTGGAGTAAGGATGCAACAGGGCTTTTCCTTCATTTTCGTTGGTGAAAGATTGTAACGTATAACCCTTGGATACACCATATATGTCTCTTGTAAGTCTTAAGGATATGGACCGAATTTCAGTAAAGATGCTAGTCAAATTGCCAAACATATATATTAATTGATCAAAATTTGATTTGTGGACATTGTCACAGAACACGAACTATTAATTCTGTGTTTTGGAATGATTTTCCTTAAATTAGTATTGGAGAGGGAGGTGCCCGGCAATGTGGCATGATTCAAGCCTACGTGAAACCATAAGTTAATTGTTTATTTTTTTTTGCTCGCTGAGCACCAAAATAGGATATTTGGTAAGGAATCAATCTGGGAAATCTATCGATGCCTAGATGGGAGTCCTATGAGAGGTATGGAAGTAATGTAGTTGGTATGCTCTAATAGTAGTGGATTGCTAGAGTAATGTACAATCAACCTTGCGTATGCACAAATGCAATTTAACGATGAATAGCAATTGGTCAAATGTACAATCAACCTTGCGTATGCACAAATGCAATTTAACGATGAATAGCAATTGGTCAACCAGTCAGCTGAATTTTTCAAAACTTGTTTTCTGAATTATTTTAATAATAAATCTCTTTCTCAGTCTGGAGACTTAGGGGGCTTTGAGCTGTATGTAGTTTAGATGTTGATACTTGATACTATGGTGGAAGTTGCACCATATGGAAAATTGTGTGTCCATTAATGAAATAGATATGTACTGTATTTGACACTGAGGTGGTTAGCATTGCGATACCATTTGGGAGTGGTGAGGCGGGGTAAGATCAAGTCAGTAGGATTTGGTCCTAGTATAGTAAAACCCTTCAAATTTGAGGAAATGAGCCATCATGTTAATAAAATGTGACTAATACACATTGTTTTGAGTAAAAAGTATGGTAAGAATACGCACTTTTGCTCACATATGATCAATGCTAGTGTGTTACATTAGTTAAGAATCTAAGATAATATACATATAATCTAAAGTGTACAATAATCTTATAGTACAAGAAAAAATATTGAGTTTAAGAATAATAATTGACCATCTATAAAGCAACTAGATAAATTCTTCATTAAAATCAAAGTTTTTTTTTGTGTGTAATCAATGCTCTTTATGTCCAGATCTTCTTGTTTCTGTGACTTTGACATCGCCATCACAGTCCCCACATCCAAAGTTTGTTTATAACTTCCTATAATCATTAACTTCATTCAAAACAACACAAATTACTTTGTTGCTGTTGCGTTATTGTCATCATCACGAATTTCTAGTTGCTAAACATTCACTTTCACATTCACATGAAGGAGATGAAAGAAAGATGAATAATGTCTATTTATCAATAATTGCAATGTAAAATAGAATGATAAAAGAAATATGATAAATCACCCAAAAAAAAAAAAAAATCACTTTGAGATGGGCTTGTTTGTCTTCTTTGTTTCTACTCATTATGTATAAGGCTTTCCTAGCTGCTTTTTTTTTAGCTTGGGTAAATGTCCTATATTGGCAGCTCATTTTTGATGTTTCTGCTTGAGCTTCAGGCTGTATAAACATACATCTTTGATTGGTGTAAACAGTTCCGCTTCTTTGTATGTTCCTTATGATAACATTGTATAAAAATTAAAAACTGTTATTTTATTATATGCTTACTTAAACAAGAAGCTATTGCTTAAAATTTGATTTTCTTTTCTAACTTAATTAGCAAACTTATCATCTCCAAGTTACTCAGTTACTGTTCACAACTAGAGGAGCTACATATTCAGCTCAAAATCCGAGTAGCAAATTTCTTAAATTTCGGTCATTCATCTCCACTTGAATCCCACTAGTCAACTGCACAATTAAGTACTTAGAACTTTAGGAAAAATGGGGGAATTGGGTGAACTTGGTTTTTTTTTTTTTTGTCAATATTAGTCACTGGATTAGGCAACCCAACATTCCTGTTGCATTGTGAAAGGTATAGAAGTGCAAATCAAGGTATAGAGGTGCAAATCAATACAACTCATTCATCAAGTTCATAGACCATTTTGGTAAACAAGCATAAAATCTAGGGTTTGAAAGTTGGTCTATATGAATTATTGGGTTTAGATAATAATCGACAACTTGCAATGGCTATGGAGTTGGGACAACCCAAAAAAAAAAAATAAAAAATAAATAAATCAGGCATTTAATTACCAGTGTAAAAAGATCATCCATTTTTGATTGGCATGGAAATTTGTATGTAAAACCTTAGACATCCCCCAAAATCTTTGTAATTCCTTAAGTCATTGGAAAAAAGTGATGGCCTCACAAGAGTACAACCTAAAGAACAAAATTAAGCATCTTAAAAGACTGGTCTTAGTTCTGTAATTACAACTTTACAGCATGTTTTCTAAGATTTATGAAAAGCATGTGGATGGCATCTAGGAATTGTACATATACCCCACCTCTTTATTGCCATGCTATCTTATATTATTCCTATTCATCCTTCAATAGATTTGGTGTTACTGGTCAAATGTGGACGTTTTTCCATGTGAAGCTGTTTTGTCCTAAACTTGGACTGAGAAGCTTGATATTCAATACATACATCATCTGTGTCTCTTGTTGCAGGTTGTGCTAGTGTTAAGCGTATTTTATCCGAGTTTATCCCTCGGTATGGATCATACTGCCCTACAGCTCTTGAAGCTGCTGGACAAGTTGTAATTAATATGCATAATTGGAGTGTGCCTGTGATAAGCAGAGGGGAGGATGCTGATGGCGTTTCCTTTGAGACTGCTAAGAATTGTGTGACTGGCTTGGTTGATATCTGCTGTACAGCCTCACTCGAGGCACCTTCATCATCTGTTATCCGAGGCATTTGCTCTGCTGTGTTTCTTAATGTTGCTACCTTCTTTTCAGCATCACTTGATGGCAAAGATATATTTCAGATTATGGATGGAGAATGCCTTAAGATGCAAGGCTCTGAAGAAATATTTATTATGCTGAAGCAGAGAATTTTAGAAGAAGATGTATCTCCACTACTCAAGTTATTGAAGTTTCGAGCTTTATGTCTTCTTAGGATCTTTTTTCTTTGCCCTAAAGATTTTCTTTCTGCTTGCTTTGAGCTCTTCAGTACCCATGCAGCAGATAGATTTTGTAGAGAAGGAAAATACTTTCTCACTCAGTTGTGTTGTGCACTCAACGTTGATGATGACTGTTATGTCTCCACTGTGAATGGAGAACGTTCCGAGTCTGAAGCTAGTACAGGTTGTAAGGAATCAGACACTTTAAGAAAGAATGACAATAGCAAAAGGCCGGAGTCTGTTGGCGATTTTCATGGAAACAGAAAAGGATTCTTTAGAAGCTGCTTGCTGGGAGTGGTAAGGCTTTTAATTGACTTTGCCTTAATGTTAGTTTCCTCCCTCTTTAGTCTGATTGACAATTACTTCACATTTCAAGGACACCATACCAGGGAAAATTGACTGAAGAACCAAAAGATTAAACTGCATCTATATTTCGACATGTGACAACAAATTGTGTTGTGTACTTGTATAGGTTACCTACATACATATGTCATTCCCTCCCTAAAATTCAGTCCTATAACAGAATAGTTGTTGATTGGGTGTTATCGTTGTTGACCTTAGCTCAGTTAAACGTAGTTTATGCTGTGTGATTCCTTCTTTGGCTGATTTACTGTTTTTCTTTTCCATTTTTTTTCTATTGCTGACAGCGAGACAGTTTCTTCTTTTTGTTTACTTATGTCTTATTCTCTTTGACTGGAGTGCTTCAAATTTTTTCTTCTTTCTTTTGTTTTATAGAGGGATATGTAATTCTTAAATGATACTTTATCTTTGAATATTCTCTTTTTATTTTTATATATAAACAGGTGAAGGATCAAACAGCCAAGCAAATGAAGAGATTATTTTTAGTGGAGAGATGCTACCAATAAGATAGCATGAGTTCATCTGAGCCATTTTGTTTTATGTCATCCTACTGCCATTTCAACACAATCCCATGATTCTAATCGGGCTACTATATCTGGGCCTCTAGGGTCGTTTTTCTTATTCTATTGTAGGCAATTGAGTCATCTCTGAGTTTTTCTTTTCGATAGATTTTTTCGGCGGTTTCTTTCTTCCTTATTCTTTTTCTTTTTTTCCTTTTTTTTTTTCATTATTTATTTATTTATTTTAATTTTGTTGTGGTTGTAGTTGTGATGGTGGTTTGATGGATTTCCTGGTTCCATTCTGGTTATGTGTCATAATATCAAATTGAGCAATACCAGCTTTTTCCCTTAGTTTTGAAAAAAAAATTATCTTCTGTTCCAGGTTCTTCACAAAGATCCCTCCTTAAAGAAGTGGATATTTTCTAGGTACCAAAGACTGCAGAAATCTGCATCCTCTGAAGCTGTCTCTCAGGTCACCAACGCTTTTCAGGGAATCTTTGAATCTTTTAATGAACAGGTCCATGAAGCCATAGAAGATAGTGATGAAGAAGGTTCAGATTCATCCAAATATGTTAGCAAGCATTATATGGTTCAAGGGATATCTAATCAACACGGGGTCCTTTGTGAAGCACCTAGAAAAGATTCCTTGCAAATTCATGATAATTCGTTCAAGAATGAGTTGGCAAATAAAAGTTCAGGGCAGTTTTTGAGGCGACATGGCTCTATGATATCTCTTGAAAGTAACCACCACTCAAATACTAGCTCTAACCATGATAGTGGAGGCTCCAAGTGCATGGAATTTGGTGGGAAGGAGCAAGATGTATGTCGTGGCTGGATTCCCATGGCTAAAGACCAACTTGGTGACCAGTTACTCTCCCCCATGTCCCGAAATTCATCTCAAATTAAAATAGATCCTTTTGAACAGCAAAGTCAGACAGCCCAACTTGAGAAAAATCATGCTTTGAACGTAAATGCCTCGAGATTCTCTAGTGGTCATCCAGTTGATTCTATTTTCGGAAGCAAAACAGGTGTGCCTTACCCATCTGCATCAAACCAAGTTATTTGGTTTTCAGATGGGGACCCTCAAGCAATGGATGTGTTTTCTGCTTCAAGACAGCTCTGGCTAGGTTCTTTGTCTTCTGACACTTCTGAGGCTGCAGTAAGATATGAACTTGAGAAATTTGGTCCTGTAGAAAACTTCTCAATTTATCCAGTCAAAAGGTTTGCCCTGGTTGAGTATAGAAGCCTATTCGATGCCATTAAGGCCCGGGATTTCATGCGTAGATATTCTCCCTGGGGGTATCCAGTTCGTGTCAAATTTATTGATAGTGGGTTGGGAACAAGAGGCGCAGTCCATGGTGTGGCCATTGGCTCCAGCTGCCATGTGTATGTGGCCAATTTGATGAACCAGTGGGTGAAGGATGAGCTTATGCGTGAAACAATGAAGGTAATTAGTAAAGGTCCTCGTTTGGTTACTGAATTGACAAGTGAAGCTGCATTACTTTTGGAGTTTGAGACTCCTGAAGAAGCAGCTAATGCGATGGAATGTGTCAGGCAGATTCGGAGAGGGACAAACAGTTTTAAAGCTGCTGGTGCGGGAGCTGATATGTCCAGATCCCATCCTAGCTTTTGGAATGTGGGTCCTCCTGTCAGCAGTGCCTTTGGGATGTGCAACACCGTGCTTGGTTCCCCTCATGGTCAAACAGCTGGAAGCCCAACTCACAGGTTCCTCCCCTGCCATATTTTCACCCCTAACCCCTTCCCCCACTAAGAAAAAGAAACTAACAACTAACTTGTCCTTCAGATTTAGTCTATACTCCACAGGATTATACTTCTTTCGTTCCAAATTAGTTGACATGTTTTGATTTTTGACTAACATTTGTGAAGTATAAATATGAAAAAACATAGTCATGTCGATTCTTTTTAGATCCTTTTCAATGTTAATTAAAATTTAATTTTTAGTATTTTTTACAATGGACAGTATAAAATCTTTGTATTGGCCTTAGCTTTAATGCTGTGCTCTTACTCAAGCTGCTTCCCCATTACATGTCTCTACGCAACCTCTTTCCCCACCTTCTGCTTTTGTAGTTTCTGTAAACATTCTCATGTATTACTGTGTATTGCGTGACCTTTATTTATTGCAAATCATGATCTTGAATATGTATGGGCTCGTTTATATTGATATATCTGTCAACTTTTTGACTGGTAATTACTTTCAGTGTCAAGGCTAGTGTTTGAAACTAATTCGCTTCGTATTTCTTGATGAGACTTTTAACGCAGAACCATTTTACACAGGATGCATAATGCAACTTTACCTTTTACGTTAAATTCTGAAGGCATTCCTCCTGAATATCCATCACCTAAAACAAGCTATGAGAAGCAAGGATATCTGCAAGGTGGACTAGTCTCTCAGCCAAATAATGCTGCTTCTGGTTGCATAGATACACGAGTATTAGGGAGCAGCCAAGGTTTGTGCTCTTTTAATTGTGTGACATATCTAGGAATGCAGGAGCTTGTCAAGTTAGTAATCGTCAAATTATTTTTACATGCTATTTTGCTAGAAAACTTGCTCTCCATACACTGATTTTCTGAATCAGTGGACTCTATTTAGATGAGTCATTCACACTTATATGTTTGATCATACAGGTTATAAGCCGGGTATGTCAGGACAGATGTGGTTATACAGGAAACCAGAGCCTGAAGTGCAAACTTCAGGAGGAACTGTTGTTTGTACACCTATAGCAACCCAAGGACCTATTAATGCTCCACCTCAGTCTTTTCAAACTCCACCTTACATGCAACCTGTTTATCCACCACCCTCCAGTTCCTGGGATGCACACAGTTTGAGCTACCACATGTCTCTGAATCCAATTCATGCAAATGTTGTACCTACTATTGTACATAGTAATCCCATTCCTCCTCCTTTTGCTCAAGCTTCAGTGACCCCATTGTCACAAATATCAGGAAGCGGTATTCAGGTATTTAGTCAAATGGTTCCCCCGCCAATTATACCTCCTCTTTTGTCAACAATGCCGCCACCTCAACCTGATATACCACCTCAGTTTCCTCCTCCACCTATTGTCCCTCCTCCTCCCTGTTCACCTCCGCCACCTCCTCCGCCGCCTGCTATGGACCCACCCCCACCTGCTACCCAGCCTAATGACATGATAAGTGCTGTTGGTGGCTTGCAGATCCAGTGGCAGGGTACATTATCAAAAAGTGGAGTTCATTATTGTAATATTTATGCACATAGTGTTGATTCAGATCTTTGTAAATATTCAATTTCTGTTTCAGAGCCTGCTGGGTAAGGACTTTTTTTTCCTTTTCTTTTTCTTAAAAAAATGCTAACTATGGAATTCTCCAATATTTGTTAATGATCAATGACTGGCATTTTCTTTTCTTAGGTGGCCAGCAAAATTGGACATGACAAAACGCACAGATTTTCGCCATGTTAAGGCTACATTTACCAACACCCCATCATTCAGAGTGAGTCATTTGTTTTTGTCTCAATCAAAGATATGCAATTTCGAAGCCCAATAGGCATTGGACTTATAGTTAACTTCATCTAGAGTGAAAAATTGACATTTCTAATAATGCAATCTTTTAACTTAGTTTGTTCAATTTCAGATTATCGATTGTAAATATTATTATACACTCCTCTCCTTCCCTCTTTTTTCCACAAAGTATGCATGATAGGATAGATAGGGTATATGGGGAGTGTTTTTTTTGTTGTTATCCTAAAGAATGCTCATGATAAGATCACATATTGCTCAATTTTTCATCATCTAAGTAATACATTACTACAGTAGTGTCAAAGTTCTTTGATGGTGATACAAAGTTTTGAGAAAATAGTCTCGGTGTTTGTTGATGGTGATAAATTTTTTGAAAAATTTGAGCCACTAGTACTACGGGGATCACCAATTTTATCTTGCTCTCTCTCTCTCTCTCTTTGGGGGTGGGGTGGGGGAGGGGGTGGGATGAGTTTGGCAGGGGTTTGTTAAGGTTTAATAAGTCAGAATTGGCAAGCAGCTTTGTTATGCATTATAATAATATGTAATCTAAGCATGTATTGAATTGTCCATTCTTCTTTTTAGATAATGACCAGATCTTCATCTGCCCATTTTCTATCATGCTTTGGCCTTTTTAGTTAAGAATTTACGTATAGGAAAACTTGGCATAGTTTAGTTTAAAATGATTTGGGAAATAAAGATAATTGCGTTGTCTGAAAAATTCTTTTTAATTGTTTTGTCTAAGGTTTGCCCTCTTGTCTTTTTTTGTTACTCCATTGTATTGTTAGAAAGTAGAGTGATGTAATGAACTGACTTAGGGGAGGGTATTATGGGCAGTTTAGTATGTTAGTAGTTATCAAATGTAGTATGGGCAATATGGGTAGTCTAGTATTATTAGATTAGTAGATGTTAGCCTTAGTATAAATAGAGAGAGGAGAGAAAGAAGAGGGTAGGCAGAAATTTTTTAGGGAAACCTAGAGAGAGTCATGGCCTAAAGCCATTTTGGAGAGTTGTGAGCTAAACTAACTATTGAAGATTGATAGCCTTAAGCTATTAAACCTATCTTTTGTAAACCTTTGCCATTTTCAATCAATATTCAAGCTTTAATCTTTATTTACTAGAAATATTAAATCAGAATTATAAACCCAGAAAATCAGTTCATCACACTTGGTATCAGAGCGGTGGTCCTGTGACTGCCGGCGTCAGAAACCACCTCGTCAGCCAAAAAAAAAAAAAAAAATGCAGTTTGCTGGAACAGAAGTAGCACATCTCATGAGTCAATGGATTCAAGAGGGATTCGAACACCTTTCACGCATAAGGGAGCTAAAAACTTCAGATCTCAAGGAGGAGGAGCAGAGAACTCGACAAGAGCTTCAACTTCCAGAGTTTAATGGAAGAAATTTGGATGATTGGATTCTTCAATTAGAGGATTCCTTCCAATTTTTCTAGTTAAATGAGGAGGTGAAATTGAAGGCTGCCATCATTGGGCTTAGCGACAAAGCATTGCAGTGGTTTGAATGTGAACACAGGTGGCTACCACTACGTGAGTGGCGGGTTCTGAAGGTAGTGTTGGTGAGTCGTTTCGGCTCGTCATCGTCCGGGCAGGAGCAACCAACTCCATATCTGACACAATCAATCGAAGAGGAAACAAAGGTGTCATCTCAAATATTCTCAAAGGAGGTAGAGGAAATCATGAAGAGAATCACCGGAAATGTTCAAAGAGATTTGGACAAAATCACTAACAAAGCCTCTTCTCCAATGAAGATGAAGGAAGAAGACTATCAAGCAAAATTGGAAGATGAAAATGCAGATAACGAAGAGGAGGAGCAGGTACACCCTAGATTAGAAGTTGATAAGGGGATTTTTTTTGGGGGTGTAACTGTTGGTAGTTCGGAAAACCGTGACAGGGGTTTTAGAGAAGTCAAATACTAAAATCTAGTGGAAGGCTTGGAAATTTTGGAGATGGGTCTAAGGGTGGAGGTAAAAGTGGGTTTTCTGATGCAAGTGGTTTTGGTAGAGGGGCAAGCGCTTCTGAAGGTGGTGCATCTGGTGGTGGGGCTCGTGAATTTAGCGGTGTTTTCTGTATTGTGCGAAGGAGAGATGCTGGTGGTTTTTGACGGAGGTGGGTCAGGAGGGTGTTTCGTAAAGGGCGGCGCCAATGGTAGTGGATCCGGCGGTGGTCCAGGAGTTTGGGCTGGAAAAGATGAGCGTGGTGGCCTGAACAGAGAAGGTTTTGTGAAAGGCGGGTTCAGAGCAAGCGGGTCTGGCAGCAGGCCCGTAGAGGATTCAAGCAAAAGAAACAGAGATGGTTCACCCTCCTTTGCTGTCGAAAAATCTGGAGGTCTGTGTGGTTGGTGTGGTGGAGGACATGGGTGGCTCGCCGGAGAAAAATGTGGTGGATGGTGCAGGAACGTCCATGGCAGAGGTGGTGTTGGTCGTGGTGGCTTCACGCAGCAGAGTGGTGATTTCTCTAGTGGTTTTTCCGGCGGTGGTCGCTTGGTCGGAAATGGACTAGGGTACTTTGCAGGTGGTGGAATGAAGGGTGGAGAGCTTCATGAGTGGTGGATATTTGGTGGGTTCCAAAAGAGGAATTTGACCGAGTCAAGCTTTAGCTTGGAGAGGAAGCCAGTGATGAATATGTTAGTAAGGGTAAATTGCTCATGTTGAGAAGTGGGGATGTGGGACATGTGGCAAAATATGGTAACTCAGTTATAAAAACATGGAATAACTTTGAAAATATGTTGACTGATGACCAAGCAAGTAGGGCCATCATCAGCTATGAGAACATGGGGCACGTGCCTAGGTCTTCCCTGGCAAATCCAATTGCATCTCCGAATAATGAATCAAGACCCTCCCAGCCAACAATATTTGCTACCAATATTTTCCCTATTTCTCGAAGTTCCTTATTTCTCAAATTTTCAATTTTCCCCCTACATCACCCAAAACCTACAACCCCTACATTTTACAACACAATCTGCAATTTTTGCCTTGTTTTGGAAGCCTTGAGTGGTGGTGTGATGACCTTCAGTACGATGCCAAGCTATAGACCTTAGGACAAGGTGAAAGTTTAGGGGAATGAACTGACTTAGGGGATGGTATTATGGGCAGTTTAGTATGTTACTTCCTCTGTTCTTTTTTACTTTACGTATATCTTTTATCACGCTTGTCAATGCAAAACTTTAACGGTCAATAACTTTAATTCTCCATAAGTAAAAATTATATAAGTTATATATTATGATGGTAGTTATTGAGACGAATTTAAAAGAATCCCACATGCATATGTTTTTCCTTACATATTATTCACAAAAGACGGTCAAAGGAGAGGTGGTGAATAGTGTAAAAGTCAAAGCGGGTCAAGTAAAAAAGAACCGGAAGAAGTAGTAGTTATCAAATATAGTATGGGCAATATGGGAAGTCTAGTATTATTAGGTTAGTAGTTATTAGCCTTAGTATAAATAGAGAGAGGAGAGAAAGAAGAGGGTAGGCAGAAATTTGTTAGGGAAACCTAGAGAGAGTCATGGCCTAAAGCCATTTTGGAGAGTTGTGAGCTAAACTCACTATTGAAGATTGATAGCCTTAAGCTATTAAACCTATATTTTGTAAACCTTTGCCATTTTCAATCAATATTCAAGCTTTAATCTTTATTTACTAGCAATATTAAATCAGAACTATAAACCCAGAAAATTAGTTCATCACAAGTGAGAGTTGTGGTCATAACTTGTGATCACTATTACAGAAGCAATTAATTGGCATCAAAATTATAATCTATCTTTTTATTTGGCTTCTTATGTGTAGTTAAGTTGTTTTAAACATGATTTTGACTAGCTTTTTTTTTTTGTTTTTTTTGTTTTTTTGGTATGGAACAGAGGGAGGTATGCGTGCTTGTACCATCTTCAGCTGCTGATCATAAAGGAGTAAGTTACTTTATATACACAGAAATATATTCACGCCAAAAAAAAAAAAAAAAAAAGCTCACGTTATCTACTTTTGTCATTGGGGATGTTTACCATTATCTTGGTCTATTGGACTATAATTTCTCATTTTATGATTTTATAGTACTTGTAAGAGTTACGCTGATGTGATGGAGAACTTAATTGGCTTGTGATGATGTTAGGAGACAAAACCTTCTTAAATGAATGCCATACTTCCCATATTTGAGAACGATTGAACACTTTCCTCTTTCATTCCTTCTATATTAATTTGAGCACCTTTTGAGAAAGACACTATAATTATTTAAATACACATCTCTTTTCATTACCAACAAGTTAGGGCCCCACTCACTCACATTTGATAAAAATAATCTATTTTTTATTACATCAACATTTTCAATAAAAAAAACCTCACTATCTCCTACCACATCTCTTTTCAGTTGCAACAATTTGTCATTTGCACTATTCACAAAATTCTATTTACCATATTTGTAAGAAAAATATATATAAGTGAGATCTTGTTAGATTTGTCTTGATTCATATTTCCAAAATATTAACTTATGTTTCCTTTGATTTTGTAGTTTACGTGTTTTTACTTTAGCACTATTCACACACTTCCCTTTGATTGTGTTTTTTGATTTATACGTAATGAAAAATATAGTAATGTAGGATCTTGTTAGATTCATCACGATATATATTTTCAAAATATCAGCTGTTTATAATTTTTGTTTATCGGTAATCAAAGATATTAATGGTTGAATTTTTGCATTGACAAACATGACTAAAGAAACGTGTCAACTAATAGGAAACGGAGGAAGTATAATTTTACAATTTGGTAATTGAAGATATTAGTGGTTAAACTATGCATTGACAAGTGTGAAAGTAAAATTGTTGCAAATAAAACGAAAATAAAGGAAGATGTGATAACATCTCAACTACTTGTCACCTAAAATATATGCTCATATCAGTGTTTAAAATATCTTGGTACTGCGGAAGTAATAAAGTGTAAAATGAATGGAGTGCAAAATACAATTAAACTGAGGAAAGTTCTTCCACCTCATTGTCTAGTTTACTATCTTCCTGTAATTCTGTATTAATGTTGTTGATATCTTTCATGGATGTTGTTGAAGTTTTCCATTTTTAAGTGAAATAAACAACTTTGCTGTCTGGCTCACAACTACTTGACATCTAATTTTTAGGTGCTTACCCAAGAATGTGGCAGCGTAAACCTAGTAAATTTACCTTATTCTGGCTTATCTAATTTCAATTGAACTTTTTAATTTTTTTTTTCCATGATTAGAGCTTATTTATTATTATTTGAACTAATCTGATTAGATTGTTTGATTTGACTAAAATTTGTCCTTAACACGTTGTACGCTAATATTTTTCATTCTGGAATTAGTGATATTTAACGGTAAAAAATTCGCTCATTAAATGATAAAATATGATATGAACTTTTTTTCTTTTTATCTAACCTTAAATAAGTATCAAGGTTTTTGATTGAATAAGGTGAACTAAACATTGCCTAATAGGTTCAGCTATGCTATTTCTTGGTCTGCTGTTTCAAATAGTATATGTCACCAACAATCAACTGCCCTTGCCCTTTCTGTAATTAGTATCACCGTCTGTATATCCTTATTTGTAACCAAAGTCTTTAATATTCTTTGCTTACTGCTGGTGTAACTCATGTAAGACTTGTTAGTGGGTGGTATCACTTGCCAATGTTGGCACTGTTAGTGGGTGGTGGTTCCACCAATAATTAAAATTATCAACTCTCCTTGTGTTCATGAAATTTTCTTGATGTTTATAAGTATTGTTTTTCTTTAATGTTAAAATTCTTTTCCATTCTCACAAGCTCTTGTATCCCCTTGCTCCTTCCTGAAAAAAGTGGTTATGATGATTGTTGGCATGCTTACCTTATTCTTTTCTTGCTACAGTTTCAGGACTTTATTTTGTATCTAAAGCAAAGAGAATGTGCTGGAGTTATTAAGATCCCAGCCACAAAAGCTGTATGGGCAAGGCTTCTTTTCATCCTTCCATGCTCACCAGAGGCTTGTTCGATGCTTTCCCTAAAGTCGAACCCTTCTGATTCCCTTATCACCGTGGTGTTGCCAAAAGATGCAAATGTGGAATGTGCATGACATATCTTGTTTAAAAGACAATTGAGGAGGCATATATGTTAACTGGAAAGGCTTATCACAAGTGATCCTGTGTGCGAGACATGAAAGTATTGGAAAGCTTGGTCTTTTTATAACAGTAAACCTGCAGTTGAAAAAGTTTACTTCTATGGTTTCAAATGCAGTGCATGGAGCTAAATTCAGTTAAAATAGTGAAGCTCAACTAGCAGCAAAAATATATTCAGTTTTAGTACAGTGGATAGAGTTATCAGAGCAAACATGTCAATTGCGGCTGCTTTATGGTACATGCAATTAGAACTCTCAACGTTGTGAGGTGCATTCTTAGGCCAACAAATTTACCAAAGATGATTGTTAGTATAGTCTGGAAATTCTTGTTTCTAACTTTACAAATTCTGCATCTGGTACCATGTAACCTTGCGCAGCTAACAACTTGGATGTACTGCAAATGTAAATAGTTTCCCATGTTGTTCAGAAATTGATGGGATTTTTGAGTTACAATAATGCATTTGCTTGGTTACAATTCTAAATTAAAACTCAGTAGTGCCGTGGCGGTGCCATGTGGGTGCAAGATTGACTTCCCTCTTACGGAAAGGCAACCTTAGTACCAACTCCCCACTTCCCCTAAGAACTAAATACACTTCCTCTATCTCAAAAAAAAAAAAAAACCGTGATCAATTCTAATTCTAATGAAAAGTGGGAAGTTAATAACCATTCCGTTATGACAACAACATTATATGTCTTAAAATAAAAATATAATCTTACAAAATGTTTCAGGGTCTTCTGATGTATCCTACGGGAGAGTTACGTCTCTAAGACTGGATCTGTTGACGCATGTTCGGCTGTTCGGAGTTTTGCCTCCGACGATCAAGTTAGTAACTATCGAAATTGAGTAAATGCGAAAAGTAAAGTAGATCTATCGGATCCCGAGATGAGGTGATTTCAATGTTGCGACTGAATAGTAAAGTAATTGTAATAATTTTAATGGGTCCCAAAGTAATAAATATCCCTATTTATAGGGCATCGGAGTGTGTGCCTTTATCCTAGGTTATTTACCCTAGGTAATTGGGCTGCACCGTTTTACGGTGCCTTTGGATTTGGGGCCATGAAGGCCACCATTTCCCTAATGAGGAAGGGTGCCACGTGTCTGTCTAGGGACGACTCCTAGGATGACACGTGTCACTTCCCCATTAGGCCACTTGTTTAGGGTATTTTTACCCTAAACATTTGCCCCTCACAGGGATGACGTGGCATGCCACGTGGCGCATGTGACACTTGTCAAGTATGCATGGGTGATGATTATTTTAACCATTTCACTTTATGAGGAAAAATTCAGGGGCGGGAAAATTACTGGAATGCCCCTGAATTTATCCCTCTATAAATAGAGATTTACCCCTCCCTCATTTTCGACATTTTCCAAAAAAGTCTAGGGAGAGAAGCTGAGAGATTTTTTAGAGAGAAATTTTGACTTTCTGCCGTCTGTATTTGCCGTTTGCTAGCAGTCGGTCGTTTGTTTTCACAAACTTCATACAAACTTCGAAAGGTACCGTCTCTCTTTACTATTTACTTTTATTTCTTGTTTCATTTGTGCCACTTGTTTTTTGCACTTTTTTCAAATGGTTTCACAAGCACACACGACACGGCCTAGGACTTTTGTTTGCCGGTCACCTAGTACAACTGAATCTAGAACTTGGGGTGCCACCTCTCCTCTTTCGGACTCCTCTTCTTCGACCATGACTCTCTCTGTGTGTCCTGTGCAGGACACTATGGCTCGGACTAAAAGGACCACTTAGGGCCTTATAAATAGTGATGATGGAGATGGCACCATTGAAGTACAAAGGAATGAGGTTTCTGATTACCCACTCGGCCCTCCAAGTACGTTGGGTGATTCTATTTTATAAGAGTCGGAGGAGAAGTTCGGCTCTTTAGCAGGCGGGTCCCAAATAGACTCAAGAAATTCTACCAAGGTGTCATCTGATGCGGAGGGTGAAATTGCCGAGGAGATGGCACAAGAAGAAGATGAAGAAGAGGAGGGAGAGGTAGCCTCCACATCCTGCATGTATGACCCTTACTCAATTTCAATGTTGAACAAAGTGTACCAGATGATGAAGGGTAAATTGGCCGCCTACCAAATGACTCACCACATGGGTGAGGGTTACACCATATGCATGCCTCGAGCAGGCGGCGGGTCAGTGGTATGGGAAGACACCCAGCCGAACGCCGACCGATATTTTGGTTGCTATAAGGTGGCTATTAATGCCGACCTTCGCTTTCCCCTCCATTATGTTGTGAAGGACATCCCGAGGGGTTACAATTTTGGCGTGTGGCTACTTGCCCCTAACTCCTGGGTAAACATCCTGGGGTATGTTGCCACCTGCAAGTTGTAAGACATTGAGGTCGGCTTTGAGGCATTTACTTAAATGCATTATTTGAGCCGAGCTCCTGGCGGTGGGGACGCCTGATACACTATTACTACCCACAAGGGTTATTTGATGAGCTTGGACAACAATTCCAAGTGGAAGGATTGGAGGAACAAGTTTTACCTCATCTCCTCCCCCAACCGGCAGGAAAACATCGATTTCAACATGTGGAATCGGGATCCTTACCTTCTAGGTAAGAAGGCACACCTGCCGCCTGTCCGGGACCAAATTTTGGATTCGAACTTCTTTGGGGACCTGGATGATGGAGAGGAGATATGGGTTCCTAAATACTGGGTGCCCTCATATAAATGGCTGATAGACGACCTCTTCCTGTTTGCCTGCGGTCTCTGAACATTCATAGACCGAAGTGGGTAATCTGGACATCCGGCCCGTATATATATATATAATTGAGATCATGTGAGAACCAAGGTGAATAATGAGAACTAGGAACTAATCTGAGCCCTTGATTCATTCGATCCAACGATTGAGATACCGTCCACGTTTTTAACTTAGTAATGGCATTTTTGGTAAATTATTGTATTATATCCAGACATATCTACCGTTCTTTTTTGCCTTCTCTCTTTTCTTCATGCCTCTTCTTCATGCTTTCTCTCTCTTCCTTTAAACTCTCTGATGCAATTTTTTTTCATTGTTCTTCGTAATCAAATTCCCTTAATTTGTTCTTGGATCTTCTTCTTCTATTATATCTGAATAAGTTATTGATTTTTTTCTTTTTGATTTGATTAGTTGTGAGTTTTAAAGTTTGGGTTATTATTTGAAGTTTGAAATTAGGGTTTTCGCTATCTTTCTTTAATTAATTTCTGTTTTTGCGTTTCTCATTTAGATTACTGATTTTTTTATTGTTTTGTTGGTAATTTTATGTTCTACTTTTTTTCTTCGTTTTTTATTTTTATTTTTTATTTTTTTATTTTTTTTGTGTATGCTAGGAATTCGATTGGAATTATTGTATTTGATGTTTTATTGTTATTGTGATAGCAATTTTGGAGTGACTTTTCTTTAATTGATTAAATGGTTGTTTTGTAGTGATAGGTTTGCATCTGGACATTCATTAACAATTCGTGAAATGTTGGAGGTCAATTATGCTGAACTCAATGGCGTTACTGCTTTTGAAGCTTCTGGTGATCTTTGTTTTTTGTATTAAACGTTTGATTAATTTTGGAATTCTTGGAGCAATTTTATCTATTTAGGTATTTTATGTGAAATGTGATATGTAATTAAAATGTTCAATTACTGATTTAGAACTCAATTTTATGAGCTGAATTCGATTGTCTCATTTACTTTTATGCTTATAATATTTACTTTTGTGCTTATATTATTTACTTTTTGAGTTGATAATGATTAAATTTTGCATTTTGTTGTGTGGTGTTGATGTTTATGGCTGCCCCCCGGGAGAGTTGTTGTTTGGTAGTAGCAGCAAGGGCACTGCAGATTTTTGTTGTGGCCTTGGGCGTTATGTGAATGGTTGTGGTGCTGGCTGGTTGTTGTTGAGTGTTGTGGCTCTTGGTGGTCAAGGGGCAGTTGAGTTGTTGTGCGTTAAGCTGTTTTTGTTGGTAATTGGTTGTATTTTTGTGTGTTTGTGTGTGTGTGTTTTGTTTGGCATTCTAGTCGAGGTGTGTGAACTCTGTGGCTGTTTGGGCAATTGTGTTGGGTGTGCTATGTGTAGTGTACTAGTGTGTAGTGTGAGCACATGAATGGCATTGATTGTACAGGCTTGCTCAGAAGAAGAAGCGCAAACTCGTCTTGTGTGGGCATTCTCTTGGTGGAGCTGTGAGTGTACTTAGAAATGTTGCTTCATCTTTTTTGTTTTCCTTGCGGAGTGCAAATCATTACAATTATCAATTATGCTGTCTTGCTTTGATCATAGGTTACAGCACTGGCCACACTAGCCATTTTAAGAGCTATTGTTGTGTCTTCTCCAGTGAAAGACAATGAAAAGTTGGAAGCTGTGGCAGGCTGTGTGAGTTGCTGCCACAATACCCTTCTCATTACCTTGTTTGTTTTTGTGGTTTAGGAAGAGAGGGTAGAGAAACAACTAAAGGGAGTTTAAAGTATTACACTTACATAACGTTTTGTACTTGCAAGGCCAGGCTGTGTAGCCATGATGTTTGTATGATTGTAGCTAATAATGATCCCACTGTCAAGGAAGGAATATTCATAGGAATTGGACTAGTTCATGGGAACTGTGTATGTGCTGTAGTTAATGATCCCACTGTCAAGGGAGGAACTTATTTTCCCATCTCATATTCACAATCAAGAAGCACTTGAGGGCACAATATTTTGGTGCTCAATTCAACCTACAATGCTTGTATCTTGTAGATATTGGTGTTGGTTGAGAATTTTTTATTTACTTCGAATTTTTAATTTACACTATCCTACTAGCTCAATTGGTAGAGCATTGTGCAAATGCACAAAAAATGTGGGTTTGAATCCCACGAAGGTTTATATATTAGATAAATTTATTTTTTATTGACCCTACTTTTGATATTTTTTTTATGTACTTTTAGAATATTTAGATTTACTTTTTAGTATTTTGTATCTACTTTTGAGATATATTAGAAAATGACTTAAAATACGATGTAAAAGGTCATGTGTAACAAGTTATTCTTACTCTTTCTTACTATGAAATATTGTGTAATGGTATTTTGGAAGAGCCGATACATACTGTTGCTATATAATGCTTTTGAACTTTGATTTTTGTAATTTGATTTACTTTATAGGTAATTTGATTTACTTTTGAGAAATTTTCATTTACTTTAGTGTGTTTTTATATATTAGAGCTAATTTGATTATATACATTAATGTTAATTTGATTTACTTTTTAGTTATTTTGATTAACTTTTGAGGTATTTTGTATAACTTTACAAGTTTATTTATATTTATTTTAAGAGACAACCTGATTAGGGGATTTTTCCCCACCAATCACCATCTGACAAGTGGACCAATCAGGTTCCGCCATGTGTCCGTCACATGGGGCAATAAGAGCCTGCCACGTGTCAAGCAGTGATCCGTCCACTATGGACCAATTACGACACGACACGTGTCCTTCCCATGACACCT